CCACACCACAGCTCCCTTGGGAGAGTGACGGGTCACTCTCATGTAACCCCGTTACATAAATAATGCTCACAATCATAGTTAAGAGTCCGTTGGGAGTCCTAGTGCACCATTAGACAACATTAGACAACACATTATCATTTTTGAATTGAACTCGTTAATGTTTTGACACCACAGTTTGCCTCATACATCACCATGCAACCTAATACAAGGAATGATATGCCAATTTTACATAAATTTCATTTTCATTCTATAAAAACTTGTAGATTTTTAGTTTGTGTGAAAAATCATAACACTTATCCTTAACTTATAATTCCATAAATTATGAAAGTCCGGGTGAAAAGCTAACAAGGTTACAAATTGATATAAACGTAACTTTCTTTGAGGGCCTTAACATTTTTTAACGGCAAAGTTAATAGACAAAATATATAAAATGGTCATCCAGACTCCCAACCTTATAATCCCAAAGAAAATGCTTACTTTTTCCAAGCAGGAATTGTCATGTGAGCGCCTCGTCCTCGGCCACCAGGTTGTTGCAGCGCTGAAATATCGACATGCTGATTAGTAAATTCCGATGCACTTGGAGCGCCAGGCGGTGAATTGACTCCATAATTCTCTCCATAAAATTTGTTCACCAGCGCAGCAGCCCATTTTGACAAATGCTCCTGTTCACACTCGAATTGTACCGTCTCAAGTGCATCGATTCCTTCGTTTACTTCAATCAAAAACACACCACGAGGAGCTACACGCAGCACGTTTTCAATAAAACGAAGCGAGTTGCCGACAATTGCTACATCTGCTACAGTCAAAAGGTGCAAAAACCCTTTTAGCACATCCAATGCTAAAACTTTCTCCAAATGTCCAGCACTCGTCAGTGCAATATTTGTGAGCGCAAACGCCACTTCTCGTCGCACTTCGTAGCTTCCGTCTTTAAACTGTTGACCCAAAAGTGGAAGCAATTGCGCTTGTAGTAACATGTCTACGATCTCAGCATCACTAGCTGCCAGATTCGACACAACCCACGCTGCTTCAGCTGCCAACGATTTATGCAGCGGTCCTGGCTGCAGAAATTCGTTTAATTTAGGCAAGACAACCGAATCTGAATTCAATAAACGTCGAACGTAGGGCATTTGCCACTTGTCTGTATGGTGGTCGAATGAGCCACAGCAAATGTTGCCAAAGACACGCAATAATGGAGTGAGCAGAATCTCGTTATTTGTTGTAAAATATGGTAACAATAAATCCACAAGTCCATTTTCAAGCATCAATTTTAAACAGTCCTCCTCGCGAGCTGTTAAAAAGCTCAAAAGCCACGCGACTTCGACAACAATCTCTTCACTGAACGTCGCAAGGGACGCTGGTTGTACAAGTCCCCTGTGTATTACAGGAAGAATACCAGCGTCAATAAATGGCTTGGCTGAAGTCTCAATTCCACGAGCCAAGTTCGATAGTGCCCAAGCACTAGTCTTGGCCAGAGCTTTTTCACCTGGATTAGCAAGTAATTTTACCAATGGCACTACAGAACCATTAGCAATAAGTAGCTGACGAAATTCTTCACAATCTGCTGCAATGTTACCCAATACCCATGCCGCACTTTCCGCTAAAGAGAAATTTGAACCTTCTAAAAATTGCAACAAACGAGGCACAGCAGGCAATACTTGCTTTGTATGTTCATATTGGCCACTAGCAATGTTTGTAAGACACCACAAAATCTCTCGATAAACTTCTCCGCCCGAGCGAGTAGCGCTAGCAAGTGGTGAAGCCGAATTGAGCAATGCTACTAAAATGGGTACAATCTACCATGAACAAGTAAATCACCATAATTTTGGTGCTTATAAAGATATACAAACGTACCCCGGACTCGATAATCTGCTCCACCTGCTCATAGTCGTTTTCATGTTTCGCTAGTAGCATACGAATCTCTTTAAGTGTCTCAAAACGAGTCTGGATTTGGCCAACTGACGCGTTGCTCGCATCTCCCAAAGTCCGAACGAGCTCGTCAATACTGCGATTAGTAAGTGTTGGTTGTTCCGCTGACATTAAGCGTCGACGCTTGGTCTGTACGGTAGCTCTCCGCTTGTCTTTGCGTACCTGATTGGTGGTACGATGTCGTCGCGCCTTCAATGCACGCGATTCAGTGGAAGCGTCATGCTTCTTAAGAGAGCTGCGTGGGGTACGAGGTGGCATCTTTTCAATAGAAAATCTCAATTTTAGAGCAACTAAAAGTACAAATGATCTAAAAATAAAGAGCGAGTATTGTGCTTATTTCCTTGCCTAAAGCTGCTTACTACTTAATTGACTTCTGTTGTATCAACCTCGGCTCCTGGATTTGGATTTTGAATCACAATAAGCGCGTAGTCTTTATCTAAAGCAAGATATCAACGCAAGATATTGTCGTAAAAGAAAATTGTATTGCATACCTGGGGCGATCATAATTTCGTGTTTCTTGGAGCGAATTCGAAGGAATGTCATCTCATTTGTGGGGTCTAAAGTGCGAATAGTTGACTTTGCCTTCGCCGCAAGTTGCGAGATAAGGGCTGCATGGTCCACCGCAAACTCTTCATCAGTTGTACTCGAATAAATGGGTACTCCCTCTTGGTTAACAATGAGCACCGCCTGGACGCCTTTGTGGCTTTTAATGCGCTTTATCGTCTCTTCAGCCTCGTATCCAAGCTAATCACATAAAGAAAAATGAGAGTATAAGGACGTAGACACAAAGATGAAGAAGAGACGCAAGCTAGCGCACCATCACGAGCTCAAGACCGCCTTTTGAAGAGGAAGGTTGCACCAAGAAGAAATGTTGTCTTAAAAGAAGGCATAATGTCACGGAGATCTAAAATTATGAATTAAACCAAAATATATGTTTGCGCTATCTTTTTTTTAGTCCTGTAGTTCACAAAAGATCAAAAGCTAAAAGGTACACGATTGCGAAGTTACAGTTCAAACTTACTTGACCAGCTGTGAAAATGGAAATGAATGGTAAGAAAAACTTCAGTCGTCATCACGATGATAAGAAAAATTATTGGATAACCATACGCTAGAATTATAGCGTTTAGTATCCCTAATAGAAAGTCCATAAACATGAGAACATGCCGTTGTGTACTCGTTATGCTTCACGAATAGTATCTAGTGTAGCAACCTGGTAAATCTGATTGCATTCGTAGTCATGTTTCTCCGCCTATTTTTACTCTCAAAGCTGATGCCCTTGAGACTCGCTAAATGAAGGCAGAACTATTTACATATATGTCTAAACAAGTTGATAATAATCATCTGTCGGTCAGTATACATTTATAAAAAGTGCTAGTGTTGTTGTCATATTGACATACAACAAATGCAAGAGATTTTCTTCTTTAGACGTGTACATTTCTTTACGTGATTATTATGAAAGCATGAGTACGTGATATTCAACCATCAAGTTGTTTGGTAGTTATCAAGATCAATGAACTAGTCGAAAGAGCACATTTCTTTGCATACATGTATTGAAATACGTAATGTATTAAGAAAGACAAATTATCTTCAAAAATTAAAGTTTCAATACTTTTACATTATAAGACTTGCGCTGTGACAATCTGTGTTGCTATTTTCTTGCCTTCAAAACGCAATCTAATTAAATTTGATCACTTCTTTTTCGGTTTAGCAATTATTCTAGAGGATAATTTAATGATATATATTTTCCAATATATGCAAAAATCGCAGCTGTTCAAGAACCTTTTCATGTGTTTATGCGATGATCTAATTATCTTGTCGTTTTATTGAGAGACTGAAGGTGCCTCACTCCACCATTACTTTATAATTCATAACTGGGATCGGTGGTCCCCAACCCTTAACGCATCCTCTGCGAGCGTTTTCTAGACGCAGATACGGCTGTTGAGTCAGCAAATCTGCTTTGCCAACTGGGATTGAAGTCGAACGTTTTTTTGTAGCTCAGCTAAAAGATAGGATGTGCACTTGAATCTTTTCTATCTTTCACCTCCAAAGTTTATTAAGTTATACACAAAAGAGCATTCAAAATGTTGGTAATTTAGTTCTATTACATAATATATGCTTAGAACTTATAATATAAGAAAAAACGGTCTGCAGCAGCAAATAATCTGTTGCTGCCATTAACTTAAACTTTTGATTCCTCTCACACACTCGAGCAGCGATAATGGATACCTATATGTTCGTACTTTTGGTACTCGTAGCTCTATTATCGGTGGTAGCTGCTACAAATGACACATTGTCCGTACAAAGTGTTCCGTCGCCAGCATTGAAAAACTCAAGTGTCACGACAAAGGCAGTGAATGGTGCCATGCCAGTCAACGTCAATGACGAAAATAGAATGTCTCGTGAATTCTGGCATCCAAGAGAGTTTAATCCTCAACAAACTTACGACAAAATTGTCAAATCATTAAAACAGGATGAATTGCTTCTTCTTAAACCTGAGTTGAAGAAGCTGGCCAACGAAATGCACAAACACAACCAAAGGCACGACCCAGAGAAGAACGCGTACCTCCAACTAACTCAAATGGTGATCAAATCTCATGGGGAAGGTGGGCTGTCACGTATGATTGGTGTTCAGAAGCTGTCAAAACATGCAATGACCGATGAGACGATACATCGGTCTCATTTGATCTTGAAATGACGCCGCTCAATACTGAGACGATGTCGCTCACGTACATGTACCAGATTTAGAGTTTACTGTTGTGTTCCTAGCCAAAGTTTACCTCCTTTGGCCCTATCTATAAAATATAGACCATTACGAGCAATGTTAATACGAAAACGTAAGAACAGAGCAAACGTTTTTGCATCAATGTTTACCAGCACGTCAACAGGTTTACAACTACAACCTTTCTTGACAATAACTCCATTACCAATGATGGCGAACAAGCGCATCGAAATCCTCCGAAGAAGTGGTGAGTTTCAATACTAGGAGTTCAACAATTGGCAAAATAGGGCCTTCTGAAGTACCTCATGACTGTAAACGCCTTTATGAATAATTGGTTATGAACGACGCCACGATATTAGATATCGTTGCGCAAGGCGCTGAGATCCAACATAACACTTAAATTTGGTCCGCCATGCATGCGGGTGCCTTAGAAACTCTACATCCGCTCGACAATGCACAATCGCGTTACGACATCTTGTCGGCTTCGCAACATCGAGATGAAAAGTAGTACAAGTGTAGCGAAGCATTCGGACTCTCTTAATGAGCGAGTCATCGGACTCCGGACAATGGGAGAGTTAGTTGATGATTCGGGCCAGCAGGTGGTACATCTCAGCAGTTGAATGTCGAACTATGATTTGCTAGTTTCATTGATTGTGGAGAACTGCAAAGGGCATTACGCTGATTGAATTCGAGGAATAGCCGCTCAAGGGGTCAGAGAAGCTGCAAAGAACTTCGGCTACGAAAAAGCGTCTCCTTTAAAAGAATTGCTGAAATATAGAAGCAAAATAAGATAGCGTTCGAAGAAGTGGTGCTCCACGCAGTATCACCAAGTCCAAGAACAAGGGTTTTATTTGTGATCAGGTTGTGCACATAAAATGGAACTGACCGGCTGCAATTTGATTTAGCAGCTATGACGCAGTATTTGCAGTGTGGATAGGACAATCAGCAGGGTGGCGTATCGACAGTGGTACCCCATCTCATATGACCCCACACAACTTTGCCTTTTGTTGTCAAAGACCTCGTAGCGAGCTTCAAAGTCACGATTGCAGAAGGCAATTTTTTGTCAAAGATGCTAGTACGGCAAGTGTGTGCGATTAGATGAAAAGTGGGTTTGCATGGCTGACACTTTTATATCCCAGATATCAACAGAAGGTTGTTGTCAGTTGGCGAGATTGCGGAACGCTGCGGGAGTTTGGAGCTTTGGAGTTCGTCGTGGGTCATCTGGAACAAAGATCAAGCTATTGCATCCAGTAAAAAAGGGAAAGCTAATTGCTGGACTGTAAATCGGAAGAAACATGTTTTATGCAGTATTCATGAGCATACACACAGGGGCAGTAGACAGTCTCTGTAGCATGATTCACCATTCCCTAGGCATTCAGCTGAGAATTCTCGCTGCCGTGGTAGGGATATAACTGTCGATAATCAGCACTTGATAATATCCATCGACTAGGCTGATGGCAATGAAACAAAAGCTTTTCATTGGTACAGCCCAACGGGATCGGCGTTAGCACCATAATCGTGTCTGAAATCTGCTTGATTTTAAGCACGCACAATAGTCACTTGTCGTTAGCCTGACAGTCATAGAACGATGGACAGTGAAAAAATTATATGTTGTGTCTGTTGAAGAGGGGGTTCTCCCTCTTACAAAGTCCATATCGTGTTTGGACGAAAGATAGTGTAAAAGACATCACAGTATAAACTTGATAAGGTACATGGCTGTGTGACGTAATATTTAGCTGCAATTACCAGGTCTATTTTGCGAGGTACTTCACTACCGGTGGATTACAAGCGTGATGACTCTCGCGTCATAACGTTGAAGGAAGAATAGAGAGGATCTATATTCCCTTGAGAGTATATGTTCATTGCACGCAAGCAGCGCTCTGAGAGTGGCTTTAATGAAGGGTGCAAACATGACAAAAGGATGAGCATAGCTTCTCCTGCACCACACAAATATCTCCGTGATCTCACTAATATCTCGCTACTCCTAGCACGTTTCCCTCAAGAGATATTCTTCTCAGCTTGTGCAAAAGGTGGTCTCGGGGTCCTAACAACCCCCAGAACTACATCGGTATTCCATTTCTCTAGTGGATAGTATTTCTCGCCGCCTATACGTGGGGCTTTACTGCCTTGCACGGTAGACCCGTCACACTGTAGTGGTTTGGTAGCAATTCCTCATAATATTGTAAGTTTTGTTTCTCCTATCTCAATTTCAGGAACTGGCCCTTCTACTCACGACCTTCAGCCGCCCGTTCACTTTCAAATCAAGAACAGGATATTTTAATCATCAGTTGCTTTCACTCTCTACCTGCCGTGACATAGGATACAACCGCTCATGGTTGAAGTTACCGTCCCGCCAGACATACACTACGGGAACACGACATAGAGTCCTCTTCTCACATTTGACCGGAGAAACACTCAGGGAAACTACAATCGCTCTATTATGTGTCTTCTTGAGACTGCAATTCACGTCATCTGAGTTTTTCTCGAGGATCTAAGCGATATCATTGCTATCAATCTGCGGCGATTTCATGTCCTGGGTGGAGATTATCGCAATTTCATGCCCAAGCGAAAAGCGCATCGAATTCTCGTAGAGCTGGGTTCATGACTTATTAATGCTCTACAGAAGCAAATTGCGTGGCACCTAACATTTTTGAATTTCGGTCGACCAATGGCACGTGATGTTTCAGCCGCACGTACCTTTCATGCGATCGTATGTTGATATTAGGGATTAAGGCCAGACAAAATCTGCGGTGACAAAAGCCTCGAGCTGAATGCAGGTTAGAAATAACCTTCCCGACTCTCCTCAGCGTCCCAATCGCAAGACACACTGATATTGTATCCGCCTTTGGTATCTTCCATGCCTTAAAGTAGCATCTGCTGTTTGGACTATCGCGCGTCGTACGTAATTAAATTATACTCTTGAATTTATCATGACATTTCACGGCTTCACAAATTTGAGGCATTTATATCAACAGCCAACAATTTTGAATTATGGACCCATCTCTCTAACAGACAACCACCTTTTTGAAGGCTGGGTTCAGATTGTACACGGCTTCCACAAGTTTCAAAATAATACAGATCGTTTCTTCAAGACGCCCTGCGCATAAAAAGACTTGGCATTTTCTAATTTAAAGGTCCGTTGAACGACTTCGCGTGAGAGCCAAACTTCGTATTTCCCAGCGGAGTGCAAAAGGGGCACGCAAAGGCAGATGTTATTATTTCACAGGTAAAAATTTTTGGAGTACTGCGGAGCTGTTCAGCTGCTCGGGGGTCATTCTTTTCAGTATGACTGAGATCCATTGTCAAATTTATGGCGATCTCAACTTTCTTGTCCAGCAAGATATACATTCACAAGTCAATATAGATTGTCGTACGAGCTATTCAAATGTTTGTCACCAGAGCAATTAGACGTCTTTTCAAGTTCTTGTCAATTTTTGGGCCCGATGTGATAAGGTGATCGGTAGTCCGAAGTCCGAAAGCGGTAATTGCATGTCTGTAACCATTTAACGGCAATGAAAGTGCGCTGAAAGGAGTTCCTCCACGACCGCCCAGCAAGGCGTCGGTAAAACCTCAACTATATGCTACCGTGAGGCAGCTTGTGTCAAGCACTCATTCTGTTAAGGGCGGGAACCGGGGAGCAAATTGCTGGATAAAGTAGGTTAAGATGACCTTAAATTTGGCCGTGCTTGAGAAAGAGCAACTGCATGTTGGGCAAGCGAATTACAAACGAAGACTGCTTGCGAGAATATAGTGTTAAGTGTTTATAATTATAGACTGTGATGGTCATTTATGTGATGCTTCCTGTGTGGAAGAGGCATTATCAACATGGAATGAAAAAGACATATTTTGCGGGTGTTCGTTCCGCCTAGCTATACTGCGTGCGCTCATTATTGCTGTCCGCCTGTTGCGCAGAGAATTCTGTTGTAGACTATGCCCCTGAGTTGAGAAATCTCATCGCTGCAAGATCCATTCGAGATGCGCGACAGGGAATCTCTATGAGCGCGCCAGAGGTGATAAATCACAGCATGATGAATCGGACAATAAGGATCTTAGTTGAGCAGCGCCGTGATAATTGCGGATATTACAATTGTGGCAGTACCATTTACATGCAGCATGCAAACACCTTTCTCTCTCGGCCAAAAGAGGTGAGATGAGGCAGCCCCTAAGTCTACCCGGATCACTCTGCTCACGAGTAAATCGTTTCTTCCAGATCTTCTCTGTACGTACGGTGGGCGCGAAACACTATAGTGCTGACTTAGCAGTACAATACATCGTGAATAGGATGAGTCATTCTTGATAGTCTTACGATCTAGTATTCGACTAACTACTTACATATGCCCTTGAAATCCACCGACTCTTTCACATAAGATATATGCTTACAGCGTGGTTACTAGGCTCGCCAGCGCCACCACGACATACTGTCGATCATTTTTAATTCAGCAGAGATAAACTCTACTGACAGCGATATATGGCGACTCACATCGGCATATTTCATCTTGCACATTTATTTCCCCCCACTGCACCCAGGCAATACTGATACTAAATTATAAGACTTTCTACATGCATCCGTGCCCAAAATCAAGTGCATCAGTCGTGTAGTTTGTCACAAAGTACTGACCAAACGGCCACAATGCGCAAAGAGAATGCGAAGAGATCGGCAAGCTCACGTACCCTAAGCGACAAGACCACGATCTTGCAAGAATCATATATTTATCGTATAAATTACCGATTATTCGCTGCGTACAGACATGTAGGGCGATGTGTGAGTCCAAGAACTGACTACCACGAAAAATGCGCATTCATTAGCTGAATATCCAAGGCAATTGTGACTGTGTCTTCAGACATTGTATGTATTTCCAAGATATGAAGGCAAAGCTTGTTCAACAGCGGAGTATTTAAATGATTGCACTAGTTAGGGTATTTACCTTAGCCTCGCTGTGACTTATTTAGGAGTCGTACTGCTTTGGCAGCATAAACTGCGTGGGATACTAATAAGCATATATACTAATACTGTGAACAAGGATACGGTGGATCCGGTTGTTCTTTTAATGCTGTCCAAGCGATGCTGATGTCTCGCTTGCTTTTGAACTGAATCAGGGATTCGACTATGGAGGCCGAGGCAATTCATCTTTAGTACGGGCGAATGCAAGTTTATTTTTGTTATTTGTCTTTGTGTTATCCTTACACCATGACTAACTGCTGCCATTAGCTGCCAAGATATGCTCCACAAATTTAGTGATATCATTGTGAATCGATTGTAAAGCTCCATGTCCTTCATAAAAACTATCGAAGCTTCGTGCCAAGGCCAAAAGTGCGTATTTGGGATATCAATGGGTTTATGGCCAAAGCCAGTGCGTGGCACTTAATGGTTAGTCAATTCGTAGCTCATGGTATTTAAGTTGTGTTGTTCATAGGATACCTAATTCAGGTCTAGAATATGTCAGCACTTCAAAATGTAAAACTCTCAAATAAATCTTGACGCTTTCATGAATATTCCTATCGCAAGGCACACAAGTAATGTATTTATTCGCCATTTTTAATATCCATGCATTCCATCTATAACTTCTGACAGTAAGTTAACGACGGTTCCGAATCCATTAAAACATTTCAAGTGTTAAATAAAGGCCAGAATGTTGTTGTGATTACCAAGAACCCTAGGCTGTTGGTCCCAAATCGCTTACGAGAGTCAGTTTTTTTCAGATCTAACTCTTATCATCACGACCAACAGAAAATATAGAGCTTGCCGATTTCCCACGAGATATTTCTGAACAATCTTGCGTATGAGCACGACTGTTTTACCTCGAAAGGGTGACGGGGTGCATGCAAGTTGCAAATTTTTGGTACCTTCACTAATGATATATGCTCTCAGCATTTAGCAAGTTTCTCTGTTCCTTTTTAGGCCGAGGTGGCACCCAGCGACGTTTATTATTGTTTCTCCAGTTGTGTGACGCGTTTACACGTACCCAGAGCGTAACGGGGTTACACGTACCCTTGTATGAAAGGGCGCGTTACACAAGATGGTGAGACCGTACATAAGTGTGGATTACACAAGTTGGTGTAATCACACAATGGTGTGGCTACACCGTAACAAGAAGCCACTACGTGGCAGGACTGCCAGTAGTAATACATATTATCGAAGTTTTACCATATTAATTAAATATTACGATATCAATTAAAAAAAACTAAGGTTTGAGATATTGGCGGCTCTGCCGCAATCAAAGCAATAAAATACAGTGTCAGTTCTAAACAGAAGAGCGACTTTACCTTGGTTGAGGCTTTAAATTCACTTGGAGGTAGCGGATTGCGATCCGCTACACTCTTACTGGTTGTAAAGAAGATTTGGTCGGTGACCTTAGTCTAGCTTACTCGAAGCAAAGAGCTACGGCAGCCCCGCTGCGATACGGCCCTCGCGATACGGAAGTTGTACTCTGCATTCAGTGCGACATCCACTATCCTTAAGAGGATAAAAGCAGATGCAGAAGGTATCAATGCAAGCCACACACGTACAAAGTTCTCGATAAAGATGCTAATTGCTACCGTGATAAGAAGAGTGTCTGACGCCATTGCGGCATTAATGATTCTGAGCTCCACAAACTAATGCCTTACTTCTCGCCCCTTGACGGATGATCATGAGCTTCAGATGTACCCATAACGCCAGATAAAGCGGTGCAAAATGTAGTCGAGCTCGATTTTTTTCTTCAGCAGCAAGAATGCAGGTTAGCGCCAATTCTTGCGCACTGCCTCTTAGCTGTTTGTCCGTTCGGAGCACGTTTGATATGGCCATCTGTACCCTCCATATTTTGAGGGAGGGATTCACTTCTACCCCTGGACGCTCAGTTGAAGCGAACCGAATGATGTGAACCATTGTGCTCTAACCAACACCTAGATGGACGCAAACTATTCACGTAGCAGCTGATCGCTCTTAACGATGCGCTAACACTGCAACAGGCTAGCCGTGCGCCTTGTACAAAATTATTCGGCGCTAACAAACGTACAGAAAATAGATCGATTACATAAATGTACTCGCTTTACACCTAACTAACAATAAACTAGCCATAGACATCGCCTTTTGTAATGTCCATTTGTACAGATAAAAGTCTTCAAAAGTTGCAGCCCGTCTTTTGTGCCAAATTGTGCAAGTTATACTCAAAATTTAGCTGAAATTGCTGACGATCTGAGCCGAGGTCAACGATTGCAGCTCTCGGGTGTGCCTCTTCGCTTACCGCATGAGTTAGTGACCCTGAAATCTCGAGAATGCTGTCCAGAAAATTTAAATACTGCGATTGGAGAGTGGTCGCACCAACACAAAACTATTTTGTATTGATTACGGATGATCACAATTCACTGCTGAAATGTATCCATTGTCGCAAAACATGAACAAATAGACGTACTCTTAAAATATTCCAAAACTGAAGAAGCTTTTGGAGCACTTTGGAGTCTTAGCCTCTTCTTCCAAATACTACCACAACAAAAAGTACAATGTTTTGGCTCTCAAATGGAGAACAGACTGATTCTTTCTCTGTTTTGGTGTACGATGTCAATAAATGCCGTATATTGGGTGTTGGAGCTCCGTATTTCGTAGAAATATGGATACAAGATATATATTCCGGATGTAAAGAGAGGCCTTAACATCTGTGCGTCCTACTAGAGAAGGCAGAGCTTGCTGCCTTTACCAGTAAAGTAACAGCACGCTTGGAAATTTCGAGCCGCTGGCAATACAGCAAGTAACAATGCACTTTGTTCAACATACTCCGTGATTGGAATCCAGGCAGATTCATCACATACATTGCACCAACCTTGTACGTCTCTTATTCTACGATAATTGCTGTGGCTTCGGACAACCCATTTTGGGTATCTGGTGCTTTCAAATTTTCTAGCAGCTATCCGTATACAGGATTTTGTTGATCAACGGTCGTCAGATAGGAAGTGTAACTGGGTTGCTGCGATCGATTAGTGGCTAATTAAGATGATAATCTTGTGATTGCGCGTTGCAAACATATCATCAAAACAATTGAGCACGTCCATTTCAAACACTGGTCATATCAATACAGTCAACTGCTGATCGTTGTTTACGGATAGTGGAGATAAAAAGAGGCAGGCATGTGTCGTATGGTTGGATAGCACAACCGGATTAATATCTGAATTATTCCGAAATTTATATCTTGTGATAACTTGATTGTCTTGACTAAAGTCAAATACCACAATTACTCAAAGTTTACTCTTCCACGATCCCGAATTTCGCGGCAATAGCTTCTGGTAAAATCTGCAAACCTAATGAGATTGAGAGCATGTTGGAGAAATGTCTTCCTTTAGTTGATAGTGTAGAGCTGATAATGTGTTGATGTAGACTTTCGCCATTCTATGTTGCGAATCTCATGTCCTCCTCTCATTCTAATCTGGCAGAGAGTTAACTCATGTAAAATTCACATCAACGATCACGGCCAACCATGCATCAAGGACGCACTTTCAAGCTCATTTTAAAATTATCTCTTTATCACAAACAAACTACAGGATGCAGAGCATCAAGATCGCTTTCCATTGCTTCGCTGTCGTGGCTATATTGATTAGTACATCATCTCAGAGCGAGGCTACTCAAAGACTTGGCTTCCCCATGTTCCGCTCTTCAACTGAAACACACAGCCAGCATAACGTAGCTGGGGCCGTATTGCGCAGTCATGCTAACGAGGTTAGTGCTGGATTGCACGGTCAAGTTGACGGAACTGGGGCTGGAATGCACGGTCAAGTTAACGGAGCTGGGGCTGGAATACACGGTCAATAACACAATGGCGGGGCTGGATTACACGGTGGAGTTGAGATGCAGAGTACCGGCTTGGGCAGACCAGGGGCTGGGATGAACGGTAAGCTTAACCCCTAAGGCGGAGCAGTCGATAATCCAAATATCCATCGAATGCGGCAGTTCAAATCGACTGAGTGAACTCGGTCGACATGACGGGATGGAAGCAACACGAACAGCTAGACTTCTATGATAAATTTGGTTGCAATACTCGAAGCAGACAAAGTTTTAGTATGTCTGTATTACCACGAATAACATTCTTGTAGAATAAACGGCCGGTTTTTTAACTCATGGCTCCGAACAATTGATGTCATCATTTGATTTCAATCCTCTTCCAGTACTTGATCAGTAACAGAAGCTTTTCACGCTTGACAGCCACTGCATGGCCACTGGTACCAAGTTCGTTAAGTCGAGCTATTTTGCACGTCATTCAGTAACTATAGAGAACTCCTTTCGCTAAGTAATAGGTTTGACGAAATGTAGGCTAGATCGATATAAACTTTTAGCTCTCCATACTCGTTCAAGACCACTGCTGTCAATTTGATAGGCTTTTGAGTGACAAGTCACGCTGATCAGAGGCACTAAAGCTGATTCGGTTTATCTTGCTTGGCAGCGCCGAAACACTTTTGCACTTGAATATAGTTATTTACCGCGTCAAAGGTTGTATGATCAAAGTCATGTCATCACTATTATATACTACTCTATTATTTCCCTTGAAAAGTGGCTGCTCGTCCACGTCAGTAGAAATTACGATGAGTGCACAGATTCTTTACGCATTCAACATTGCTAAGATTCATAGAAAGGTGCTTTAAATTCATTACAATACAATCCAGAGACTATCTCGCCGTCTACCCCCCCCCAGCCTATCCATCGCTCGTTGCATTGGTTACAGTGTGCAAACCGCGACAGAATTCTCGGCGGTCGCCTCGAATCGATCGATTACTTGAGACATAGTATGCAGACGCGATTACAAGAGTCAAACCAGATGAAGTCTAACAAAAGAAATCCAATTTGTCAGCTCATTATACAGTCATGCTTTGCCGATGGATTGCTAATTTGACGACAAAAAGCGTTTCTGTTGAACCTTTGGGACTTCGTCACCATATCGTCAGCTTCTCTGTACAAAATAGGACATTAAAAACTCATGACACGGGAACAGCCGGCGCAATGCTCCTCAATTTCGGAGTACGATGGATGAAGGCGATTCTAGTCATGATCGGAAATGTTCAGAGCACCTCTGGCAAAATTCTGAAGAACTAGAGATTCTATATGTTGAGCAAACAACTGATAGTGTTTATTCTTGATGAAACGAGGCACAAATACATCGTAATCATACATAGAACTTGTGAATTGGAAAGTCTCAATTGTTGGGGTCCTTTACATACCTCAACTTCTTTCACATTCAATACGCTCAACTGTTTACTAACTTAAACTCATCAAGACAACAATACGCAACACTTTAGTGTTGATGACACTTAAGACGGCATTACGTGAATGGCCACGCCTCTTCCACTTTCTTAAGAAAGTTCCAGTCATTCATCGGCACGTTGGCCGAGCCAAAGTCCGTATCATTCAAAGATTTGCGTACAATCGGAGGCAGTTGATTCCACATGATAAGATCTTGAAAAGTTCCTTCCTTCTCTGTAACGTTTAGTGCGTGATTGAGCGGAAAAGAGTCTTCGTATTTGACCTTTACACTAGTACCATTGGTGGCGAAAGTCGGGCATGGAGCGAACTTGATGTATTCGCTGTGGTACGACATCGAACAGCCCAGTATTTTCGGTAGTGGAACTTTTGGGCTGTCAATGAAGATAACGACGTTTTCCCAATCGTGACGATGGCCTAGTAACGGAAACGGTGAGTCCTTAGGAAAATACCACGAAAACATCATGACCCAGACATCATTGAACCATGTAGATCGACCGTAGACTTGCGAGTTAAACTGAGATCCATGGCATTTGGTCTCGGTATCAGCATCTTTTGGAAGACCACCGCTAGTTTCACCAAGTCTATTCACAGCAGGGTACGGCAGACATCCCGTGACGATGTCAAGCTGGGGTTTAAATGTCAGTGCGACCTGTTGCGAGATCGTCGTTGGTTTAGGTTGACGAAATCCTCTGACTTGATCGTAAGGTATTGTTTTTGGCTGCCAGTCAGCTGTCAACTGCTCCTGCTGATCCGTTACCTTGAGATTCTCTTGATTTTGCGTTTGGGCCTGGATCATTGACACCATAAGAACAGCGAACGAAAAAAACGAGACGATTGACATGGCGAAAGATAATTTCTTAGACTGCTACGAAATTTCAAAAGTGTGCTTCTAGTTCAGCTTTGTTCACGCTGACGATGTAAAGTCTCGGATGATAAGTGGACATCCGATCGGTCGGACACGCATTACTTACTAACATAAAACTTCAAAGCAACGACATCGTTGACGCTTTTACGCTGTCATGCTGTCGACAATTGTATGGCTGTCTCCCTCATTTTAGACAACCAAAGCTTAATTTTAGACTTTGAAATAAACGTATTTTTCACTAGATATGTTTGACACTAGCTAAATTTATGAGAGATTTTGTTTGTAAATTGGCGGTAAATTACATTAATCAAGCTAAATGCGATTTTGAAAAGTGGAATTTAAACAAGGAGCGTCTATTGTGTGGCTATGATGAAGTACGTTACATTTTATATGGACATGTTGATAATCCAGAGTATTTAGGGTCGAACTTGGCTTGAAAATTACAGAGATTACTGGAGAGCTGAACCCCTGTCTGCGTTGTTGATCTAACGGAAACTTTTTATTCTCTACTGCTGCCCATGTATGTTGCAAGCAATTTATTATTCAAATTCTCTCGTGAACGATATACAAAACTAATTACAAATTTGGTAAAATCGGGTAAACTTGCTAACACAACGACCCATATACAAGGGAGCGTTAAAGCTGCCAACGAAGCTTGTGATTGGCTACTCCTTAGGGAAGGTTATCAACCTATATAATTCATACAAATTGAACTAAGATGAGAATACACATGCGTCCAATGTATCTGGAAAATCATTTCGTCTATTCAATTCTCTCCTTATGACCGCGAAGTGAGGTATCAGCCATTGAGCCTTGCAGATGCTCGATGGTCGCATATCCTAATTCTCAGCGCTTTTACCAAGTAATAGAAACTGCAACCCGATAAGTCTTGGTCATGAATCCTGGCGAAATAGTGGCTCGTGGTGTTCCAGCCAGGCCGTACATCGGATTGAATAATCAGATCCAGGATGAGACAGTGTTTCACGCTGTCAAAGCTCTAAACACTGCTCAAATTTTCAATTTGATTTTCCACACTTTTAACGGTGTCCGTTCGCAAGATACACGGATACCATAACCATTATTCGCATCTTCAATACCTTTGCGTACTGCCTACTGTTCTTACCATTCACGCACGACCGATGCTACTGAATCTATCAGATCTCTCCACAGCTTCATAAAGCCCGAGACGTCGAATCAGCCACAACAACTCTGCTTTATGAGCCCCACCACACTTAAGGGGAGCCGCTCCTTCTAGTAATGCTGTCATCTACTTTTTAGAGACTAGCGATCACCTCCTGCAGCAGGCTTTTGTTCGCATTGCGAGATGTTCTCACGGAGATATGCTTCCTTCGTCATACATCACATACTCACTTAAAGTTTGTCTATATTATCTCTTATAAATGTGATGACTTCTCAATTGTTCGTGACAACTCTAATATACAATTTAATGAAAAAATATAATTATAGCCTTTTAACAAAATTCAATAAATTAAGAAAATGGAGGGACGTGGGAAACTTGGCGAATCCCAAAAAGCGCGTCACCGCTTTGTACTTCGACCGTTGTGGCACACGAACCATCACTCAATTGATCCAAATTTTAAGACGAGGGTTAAAGCTTAATACTTAAAGCATATTATGAGTAGAAACTCTTGAAACTCACTCAGAAGGCTTGCCCAACAGTAAGTTGCCTTGCGTCTCGTACATAGCATCTTCCGTGGGATTTTTCAGTCACTCGTGTTTGCGTATCTTCACTCACTCTATTGGATGCGAGGCAAGCAGTGGAGTCAATTTGAGGGTGCCAGGTAGAAGAAAGACTGTCTGCTTTGAAGAGCGGGAAAGAAATAAAGTGATAGCTCAATTCAAGTCTCTTGGGCATAAGCGGAGTGAACAAGGTGATGGTGGAATACGCACCAAATGTCTTCACGATGACTTGAGGAGCTTGGATTTCATACTGCCGTTATCCGTGTTCTTGTCACTGCTATCACTTCATCATGGAGGCGAGCCGGGTGTATATTTGATAAAAGTGTCTTCTCCGACAGTTGTGCTAGTAAGGTGCTGGTGCGTCGCTCTGCCTCCACCTGACACCATCACTTATTCTTCCCTGTCGTAAGAACAATCAGTCTAGCTCAGCTCAAGGCTCATGGCTCATGTCCCATGGTTCTCCCTTTCGTTGCAGCCGGGGAAATTCGATTCGCAGAGTAAGGTCAGCCTTCTGGCAGCGAAGATGGATCGGTATGAGTGGTGAGATGTTTGAGTGTCATCTTGATGTGCTGGGGTGGCTTGTACAGGAGCCGTTAAATTCATAAGTGATGCGTTTCTGGGAGAGCACCTCAAATAAATATACTCTGCTTTATTTGCAGCAATGCGATTCCAAAAAGTATGATTTTCTGCAGATCCCCGAAGATTAACAATACTTCGAAAGCGTTTGACAAACGCACCGAGGACCCGATGAGTCTTCTGCTTCTATGACACTCTGAATGGTTGTTCAACGCATCCTCCGCGAGAAGGCGTCGTTGAAGGTACCGAATGTGAGCAAAAAAGGTCGTGAAGATCACTCGGATCGCTGCGAACGCCGGTGTTAGTTGTCATCCGTCAAAAAGCCACCGATTACGGTTTGACCAAAGAAAGTAAAGTCTCATCGCGCGGAGAACGTGTAGCACATTGCCGACCACATCTTTGCAAGCTTTCCAGCCGTCACGTCTTCGCATCTTCTTAATCAGAGCAATGACGTGCCATGTTGAACAGTGGTGATGCCAGCTTCAGCACCTGTCGCCATTTGCTCCGATAAGAGCGTGCATTTAAGGAATGTGACTGCTCGGTCTCGATGGCGTCACACCCGCTGCGAATGCAGTACCAGATGCGCGGATTTGCTGCCTTGAGAACAGATATTCGGGTGCACAGGTAGGAGACGGAAGGCTTACCAAAAGTGTCGACAGAAAGCGGGATCGTACAAAGATTCTTGCCAAAGTTGGCAAACAGCGTAATTTGCGCTTCGTCCACTCGCTGCGAGTGGACTGTCGTTGGATGGGGCTTCATCGGTGGTATGGGTATCCAAACAGCAAGAAAAGTGCAGATCACGGGATCGCGGAAGCAAGTACGTCTTCACGCCACTTGTGTAGCCTAAATGAGGAAACAGACACTAAGACGTGCCGAATCAATTTTCGATCTGTGTTGCTTCCTCTCACAGCACTTTGCCTGTAGACCAGTCGTCACACTCGCGAGAGTGTAACAGCTGTGAAGTTCTATGAAGTCTTGCTGCATCGGTCATGCGCTGGCTTCGCGTCCGAAGTCTGCAAGCGATTTCACCTGGAAGACTCTGGGCACATGCAGCTTGAAGCTTCGTTATGGTTCAGATACCATGCCAATGCATCGGCGGTGTGCTGCACTGGTGTGCATCCGTGGAGCCTGCTCGAGGTCCAGTTCGGCGTCCGAGTGGAATCATATTGGCTGTCGGAGATCGTAGACTCCACGCTCGTCCAGTATGAGGTCTTGTCACGCGATCTCCCGGCGTGTCTTATACCACCCAACCCAAGTCACTCGCTACTGCGTTGACGTCAGGCTCTACTTGTGCAAGTTGCCATGGCGAATCGAAGAGATCGGAAGGAACTCGAGCGCGTTGCATCGTCCAAAGCGAGGAAGAACTCGTTTGAGCAGATCAGTCGTTCAATTCCGATCGCTTGCGTTACTTGCCGCACGCATGAACTGTAGTAGCAGTACAAGACGCTGCCGCTTGAGGTGCGCATCCAGACTTATGACGCTAAATCCGCTGTCACTGCTCCATTGGTGCATAAACTCACCCACGATAAGCTGTACGTGCCACTTGCTGCGATCGTACTTGCGACTCAGCACGAACCGACCCAGCATGGACTGCCACCACTTCACGACCGGTGCGGGTATCGATAATTGCTGCGTGTAATGGGGATTCTATCGTCTGTGCTACCGGAAGTCGTCCTCGGAGCGTGTGAGCGCGCCGATGCCACAGTGGCCTTGAAGCCGTCGAAGAAGCGTTGGTCGAGAAAAACTCGATGATCATGCGTCGACCGAAGCTAGTCCGAACGGAACGACGAAATACTTGACTGTCTCCGTGCGTTGAATGCCAAGAAACATGGAGCAGTCTTGGTCCGATCAAGCTCCAAAGGATCGACTTGGACAAGATGATCTTTGCGTCGAAGCCCCTGCAGAAATCTTTCACGATCTGAAGTCTCTCCTACGGATTCGCGAACGACCTCACTTGAGACATCTGCAAAGAGTACGCTTGTGGCTATGTGGTCTGTGCAAGATCTCTGCAGATTGCCGAGATGCCCGATCGAAAAGACAAAAAGCAGCGCAGACAACGGATCGCCATGCTTTACGACTCGTGTCGGATGTAGTGCGGACAGGGAGTTCCGGGCGATCAGTAGATGTGCTTGTGGGTTCGTGTACAACAGCTTAGCCCAGCAGAGAAACGCTGCGCCGAACCCCATTCTCTCGAACAGCTGGATCATGTAATATCAGTTGACTCGATCAAACGCCTTCAGAAAGTCCAAGAATGTCGCGTACGCCTCTTCATCGCGAGCTGTCACGAGGTCCTGCAAATTTTGCAAAGACCCGCACGTGGTGGTGAATCACCAATACTTTAGCAAAAAAAATTCTGGTCTGCGTGGATCGAGTCGGTGATGACTTGCTGTAGACAATTTGTCAGCGCCTATCACAACACCTTCGCAACGATCTGCATGAGTGCGATTGGTCGATATTACGTTTTCTCAGCCCTCAATCCCTTCTTGCGTAGGAGGACTACAGCAGACATGCGCTGAGCTGGAAGCAGGATCCCACAGTGAAGTTGATCGCTAACACACATCTGGGGCGGCAAATTTAAACCAGCGGTCAGCCCATCTATACCAGGCAAAGATGTAGCTTCCATGTGCCGATTTGCATTTGTAACGTCGAAAGCTAGGATAATGCGACAATCATTGCACGATCGACTTCCGAGACAAAACGGACGATCGAGCTGAGAAGCTTACCATACATGGTTTTGTCAGGAGGAGGATCACCTCCTGCTGGACTGGTGGAATCTCCCATTTCGGATCTACAGTGCTCCAGGAAGCAAATCGAGCTTTTTTGAGGATTTGTTGAGACCTCCTCTTGGTGTCATGACTTCCTCGATATAGATTTGGTAGGAAGCAACACGAATCGCGAGCGCTGCGATGATGCCATGAGAAACCACCAGGAAGCGGTCACGCGAGTGAGTCAGTGCAGTCAAGACACCGCGTTCGACATTCAAGCGGCCAAAGCCAAGATCTCCACCGAATACTTGTTTCGTTGAATGGACTTGTGTCTGTGCTGTACGATATGGAGCAGCCAGTTGGTTGAGTGCGATAAAGGCGTCCCAACAGCTTGCGTGTATTAAATCGAAGCTTCTGCTGCACATTTTGCAGCTGTGTCTTGATACACATCTCCCACGTCTCCTACATCTTGCCGGGGTTCTCAGCAGTACGCGGTTAATTGCAAATAAGCTCGGCGTCTTTCTCGATCGCATTCACAATTGTCGGTAATCAAGAAGGTACTGCGAGAATTTTTATAAGTGCCTCGATCGCTTAGCTGTTTGCCCGACCGGAAGCTTACGCAGCGAGCGAGGTGGTCGCCAGCGTGGTTTGGTAAGAAGTACTATCAGTCGTCGTAGAAGCGGCTGCAGAACGTCTCGGATAGCAAGTTGTAATTTCGCCGGTTTGCCGAGGAAGCGGACCGATGATCACACGCTTTGTGTCAATGGTGGATCCGCCATGCAACGAAGACACCTAGCTCGCTAGCTACTCAAAGCGCTGGACGAACCCGGGTTTAGTACGCTGGACCCCTTGAAAGCGAATACACCACCCAGGATGCTGACCTTGTGTGCTCCAGCTTCACTCTGACTTCTTTAGTCTTCACATTTGATGCGCATGTTGCCACCGGGCAGCTTTGATACTTGCCCGATCGCAGACTCGCCTTAACCGCTGCTCGAGAGCTTCGATTACACGGTGCTTGCCAACTAGCGATACCATGATCATCTTGAGCAGAGTTTAGGCAAACGTCCGACCGGTGACGATCACCATGTTGTATTTGGCGCGCAGGATCATCACAGTCGTGCCTCTTCCATCCCATGGCTACCGCAAGCAAGGGGCTTCGGGGTCCACACGACAATTCGCACCTTCAACTTCAACCTGTCCCAACAAGTCCGCCGTCGTCGGACGCGTATCGACGTTTGGATGTGAGGCACTATTGACCGGAATCTTCGTGTGATCTATCGACTTGGCGTCCAAAGCAGTAGCAGTATCAGGAGGCGAGTTGATGGCAATTCAGGTCGCGTCTTTTTGCTTGGTTTCGGGGTCGACTGCATCAGCAGGTACAACGGCAGGCAGAGCGAAAAACGCAGACTTTGGAGGCGACGGGAGAAAGGGGAGGGGGCGACGGCGTCGTCGGATGGGTCGCTGGTAAGGACACAGCTAGAATTTTCAAAGCCGGCGTAAGGATTCGAGCATGATGGGTCGACCGTGGCACCCGACCGAATACTGATTCGGACCCAGACGTCGAGCCATCCAGGGCTGATTGGTGAGGATTGGTGAGGCGAAAACAGCTGGGTCCATCATCTTCACGAGCGAAAAGCAGAGTAAAAGCTGGAGAGGAGGGCTAGGAGTGGAAGGGTTCTCTTGAAAAATAGTTGACTTGCGTAGTAGTCGACAAAATGAGAAGTTTATCATGCACTAAGTCATTTATACCTCATACCAGAAGGTGAAAATTGGTAACCCTGAACCTTATACCTTTTAAAGCAATGACGCTAAAAAAATTAGATGCCTTTCGAACGATACATTTTGGTATTATTTCGAAATTGATATGAAGATCAAGTTTCCGGAATTAGTACTCGCAAACATTAAGCGGTATTCTCGAAAATAACAAAAAATTCGTATTGAAAGAATGACTTTATAACAAGCGAAAATTTGCCTGTCCCAGCCATCCATAACACATTCGCGAAGGTTTCTATCTGTAATCCAACGTCGTTGTTGCCACTGCCCCAATACAATATCAAGGGCATCACCTTGAGTAAGTTGACGGAATGCCAACGAAAATGTCAAATTTTGATGAACTTGACTGTTCTCACGGACATTCCGAGCTTTATTTATAAGCCATCCGCGAAACGCTTCAGTCTATTCATCAGCATCAATACCTTATGATACAGGGGAAGTAGGGAGAGCTAATGCATTATGTAACGCATTCTGCTCGATGATTTGCACAAAAACGCCAGGAGCTTCGTCATTCAATAATTTGACAACACAGTTGGCCAATTTAATTGTAGCGGGAGACAGGAGATACATAACGGACGCCTCACAATATCAGCTACTTGAAAGTCTGGTATCGATTTCGTCATTCAGCTCCACAATCTTGTGGTGTCGCGCTCCTACGCTTCATGGCATTTTCTCAAGGCGACGAAAAGCCGTATTTTAAAAGTTCGATACTGACAGTATCTTATTATTCTTTTGCGATAAGTGTTTCTGCTTACAGCGCTTACTTTGGTCGTACATACGTACGCTATTCTATCTTTGAACCTTATGCAGCTAAAAGCGCGACGCATGCTCTTCCTCATCGACAATATTCTGAGGACCAGTTATGTAAGATGCAATCACAGAAACAAGTCTATTTCTGAAGTGCGCTTTCAATCACGGCGTTTCTCTTGTGTATGCAATCATGCTGGCAAGTATCGAACCAACAGATGTACAACATGCGAAAAATTGTGGTGTCATATTTAGAAGGAACAGCAAATCGCAGTGAAATTTTCCTCCTACTCAGGCAAACAATATGGTGACAAACATACACTTCACTGGGTGACACCTTTCATCCCATCTCTTTGTGATCAGAACGAAAGCCTGTGCCGGTACCATACCCTTTGTTTTCTAAAGATGCCTAACTTTCTCCTTACACTTATCATCCCAAAGTATATATATACACAATAAAGTAGTAAAAGATATGCTGGCAACTCTCCTATCGTGTTTATCAAATTTGAACGTGAAATCCCCTAAAGTATGGTAAGGACAGAAAGATAAGCCAGTCATTGGGTTGGGATATTAAACACGGAACTCATAATCCTAAGTTATGACTGTTATCGCGTGCATCGCTGAAGCTTTACGTTAACTAAAACACCTTATTTGCTTGCACTCAATAGATTACAAGCTTGTCAGGTGGGATCTCTCATTCCACTTAGCTGATCCCATCAACCCATTGTATCACAATTGTTCGTTACTTTATGCCTCCTGGTGATCCTCTCTCGTACCTTGGTAGCCAGATACAATAAAATGTCCTGAATGAGAGCGAGTAACATATGCCAGAAGATCATTGTTTCTTTCAGATAAATTGACAGCTATATCAAGAGCCAGGATGAGACAATGCTTTTTCGCGCTTAGCTTATCATGGTCAAATCTCTGGCTACGGTCTGTAGCGATGTAACAGTTATAAGCACATTATCGGAAATTGACTTTTGAGGAAGATTGATTTTTGCATGTCCGATTTGAACCTCATGATGCTTCCATGTATACACGACATGAAAGACGATACACGCCTCTGTTGCTTGAAACACTTCACTATGCATTTTGCATCCAACATCTCGTTCACAACATCGACTACCTCAGAGATGCCAGCTTTTGAAACAAGTGTCTTCAATGCGCAGCTTTGTGCTTCTCCTCATGGTTATCGTAAACA